GGGTGAGTTTGTAGCATTATACGGGCCACGAGCCTCGGGAAAGTCTACACGGGTGCTTGCAATTCAAGATCAGTTGCGAAATCAAGGATTTGTTTGCATTTAGTAAGTACGGGTCTTGTTCAAATAATAAGTATAATGTGGGCTTACAAGCTGATTACGATTGTGCTCTTTTTTTTCCTTTTTCTATGGAATAGTGCATCTTTTGAGCATGTCGAGGTCAAGGGGAATATAGACACTTTCTGGCGGACACTCGGTATGGCTCTCCTTCGCAATGCTCATGGGAATGGCATTTCCGTTTCAGAAATCGATTCTGCACAGGGTTTTCTCAAAGCGTTTCAGCGCGATCAGTGGGAGCACAATGTTGTTCTCCTTTTCGATGAGTTTGATAAATTGTATAGAGCAAGCGAAGATATTAAATCATCATGCCTGGAGACTCTGCGTGGCATCAGAAATGACAGAAACTCATTTGCTATCTTTTCTGTTGTTGCCATTGGTCCGTTTAGTATTTTATATCTGAATTCGAAAGAGTTAACTACATCACCTTTCAATGTCAGAACACCATTTCAAAACCCAAACTTTACTCGAGGACAAGTACAAATATTATACGAAGAATTTATGAAAGAAGAACGTATAACCATCGACCCAGAAATTATCGAGGACATATATATGCAGACAGGCGGGTATGTGACTAGATTTTCATGAAGTATTTTTTTTACCAAGACTCATCACTTCCATGACACTTTTTTTAACAGCCATGCTGGACTCGTCTGCCTATGCGGGCGCGCCATTTATAGGAAGCTTATGAAAAAACTAGTAAACGGGACGCACTTAAACTATAACACATGGCAACGTTTCTCAGCTTTTTCACTGGGGAATGAGGTTATAGAGTATTCAACGTTTATACGGATGAAGAATGCTCTTCTGAGGGAAGATTCTAAGTGTGCTATGAAACTCTTTCGATCAGATTTCCTGGCGAATATCGACCCTGTACATGTTGCTGATGACCAAAAGGATTTAGCGTTATTCCTCACAGCTGAAGGAGTCTTAGTTCCCGGGGAAGAAGCTGGCACCTTTAAGATTTCCTCACCCTTAGTGCGTTGGCTAATCCTTCAACGAGTGATTCCTAAGGTGTTTCCCTCCTCCCCGAAAATTGAAGTACCTTACCATTCTGATTCAAGTGGCCCAAATATTCTCGAGATCTTGAAACAGACTATCCGCATGTTTGACAGAGAGAACATGAAATTGGCATGCATGCGTTCATTCAAGAAGGCGTATGTGAATGTGAATAACGTTAAAAATCGAAGTGTCCCCAAAGAGAGCGTATACGAAGCAGAGCTGTACCGAATCTTGTCGAATTGGCTCATCGGTTTTAAAATTACGGGACAATGGCATATAGTGCGTAATAATAACGGACGTAATCAACACAAATACAGTGATATAGTTATTGATTCGCCTGGATATCCAACGGTTGTACTTGAGCTGTTGGCAACAGCAAAACGGAACGAGCTCGATGAACATTTTTCACGGGTTCTTATTTACGCAAATGAACTCTCGGCCGAGGAGGTTTGGATCGTCCATTTTACGTGCGAAGACGATGTAACCGAGAACCCTTATTGGCCGGGTGATAATGAACTAAAAAAGGGCCTTCGAGTTGTGCATTTCTGGCACGATATCAACTTTACAAAAATTGGTGTGGTCGCATGCTGGTGGGACGCGAATGGAAATACGAAACGTATTACTGATGTCGAAGAGTTTATGGTACGTTCTATTTGAATATTATTCGATTGCTTGCATTGCATTTCATGTTTCTGACAAGTCTGTTCGATTGCAGGTTTCCGAAATATGAGAAATAAGATCGCTCTTTTTTTCGTCGCTTGATTAATGGAAAGACTTTGCATCTGTAATTGTAGGATGGACGTTGATCGCGATTTTGTAGGATCATTGTCTTATTCCATACGATAGATAGCTAGCTCTCTTCTTGTAAATAAAAAAAAATTACGCCATGAGGCAGTAATGAATTGAATTCATGCTTTATTGTTTCCGACAAATATACCCTTAAGAGATAGATGATGCCGTAAATGTTCTAATTCGAATAATCATTCGTACGATTACATGCAGAAGTTCTAATTTATTTCTCCGAATGTCTGTGTTACGTAAACAATTTAACATTGTTTACATTGATTTTTCTTCTGCTATCTCTGGCGACGTTCCTAAGCAATTATTCGCTATGACCTTCTGTGATATAACATGTGATGTGTGTTTTTTTTTTTTTTATAATTTAGAACTTTATTGCCTAACTACGGATATACCGCTAAAGCTAGTTTTAACATACATGCAAAGCATATAGAACATGTGATGTGTTGATCGAGCATCTGTGTTACGCAATCGATTTTTCAGGCATGTAATTTTATTTCGGAAATTCGGTCATAGTAACAATCACCAGGTCATACGATTACGACCTTCTATTTTATTCGGTGGTAATACAAATGTTCTATCATGGCCATCAATTAGCTAGCCCGTGATCAGCAATTCTTTAACATGATTCGCTTACAAAATTTGTGATTCGGTTGCACAATGCGTGTAT